ACTGTGAGGCGCACCTTGAGTATCGACCCTAAGATCCCATGGGGTATTTTCGGGCTCCATGTTGGCCTGTAAAACATAACAGTTCCACCAACACGAAAATGATGACTCACCTATGGGCTTCGATTGCAGCTTGGACAGAAGGATCTATGTGCTTCTCAGGGATATTCATCTTGACCCCGCCAACGACTTTCTAACGACAGAAGTTGTGGTAAGCAATCCAGTGGAGTCTCACTTTATCATGTTTGATCACCGCTACCCAGCAGAGGAAGAGGTCACAGCCACCGAAGTCTTTTGGCATGTAAGTCTTCAAGTCATCCCCCTTTTGGTATTGGCGATAATCCACCTCGGCGAGCAAGCGTGGTGCGTGGTCCTCAGGCAACGAACGAGCCAGGCAGGAGGAGCCAAGTACGGCATACACCAGGGAGGCCACAAGGTTCATTTATGATGGGGCAAATATCTATCCACTCTCGACTTTTGTACGAACACAGAGAATAACGTGTGCATATGCATGTGCGTGGCGCGGCGGACGAGACACGCTCCATCTCTTACAGGCACCCTGAGTGGAATCGGAGGAGCGCCTGAAGGGTCGAGTGTTGAGATTATGGACCTGCAGCAACTTGCCAGGCGCAACCTCACTAGGTTTAGCATCGACCAGCTTCAGTATACAGTTATCACGTACCTCTCACACCAGGATTCGCATGTAACCTCAGCAATGCGCGAACCTGTTTTGTGTATGTGTGCAGGTGTTCACGCTGTGCTTGCATACGTGACTCATTCACGGTGAATGTTTGAATGGGGCTTCAGAACAGCTTTACATTGGTACTTCCTGTAATCGTTCAAGAACTCATTTACGCTTTTTGAACAGCGTTTGGTGATGGGCCTTTCGGTCGACTGTTATGTATCATGAATATATGGAAGTGCAAGGTAGGTCGCATGTTCGAATCCCAGACAATTTTTTTAACTTTCATGTTTTTTCGAGAAGCGAGTGATGTCCCCTCCCAAGCAGTACGTATATATATATCAGTCATGTACGAAAAAATTTCAATCCCAAACTCACTTCTTTGTAGAAGCTACCTTGCACCACCATTCCGGTTCTTTTGATGGCGCGTACTGTACTTGCGTGCTACACGTAATTCATAGCTAGATCGGCGCGAGTAGTGGTAGTTGGTGGCTGTTCCAGTTGCTAGCGCTCATCCGTGTCACTCCAACCTCACCACTTATACTAAAGACCCTCTTGGTTGTGTCAACTAATCTGAGCACTAGAATCACCACTTAGTTCATATCTGTCTCGATTCGGGATTTGGGTTTTCGGATGTTGTAGAATCCGGCACTCCCAAATCCTAGAACATGCTCACGCGGCATGCACGCCATGCCATGGTCCGTGGCATGGCGTGCATGCCGCGACTGATCCATGGATCAGTCGTGTGGCAACTCCCACGCCGAATCCGAGGACCAGAGTCTTCATTGCCGTGAACTAGCTGATGTGCCAGTTTCGGCACGAAGTGGAGAATCGCATAGGTAGTACCTATTAGGTACCAAGATGATGAGATTTGATCGTATTGTTGTCGTGTTGGGCCTCGCTTTCGCTGTCTCTTAGCGCTAGTTGTATGACGTATTACTCATTACTGTATTTTTGTAGTTGGGGGTGCCACGTTGGCTTACTATTGTACATCTGTAGTGCGATTCTAGGCGATTTTTGCGTGTCTCGTCCACTTGATAGAACCTGACACTTATGACATTCCTAAGGCGTGTTCGTATGCACTGTGTTTTATCTGAATGCTCCCGTAGCTGGCCTTCAGAGTCGCAAACTATCTAAGGACGTGTTTCTGATGCGCAATTATCACCGGAGTCCTGTTATACGCAAATAAAAATATGAATTGGTCCACCACGTACATCCTGATTATAGCAGGATGTAAGATCCGTTCCCGTACCATAGCGCACGTGGATTTTCGCCGAAAATTTTTCGGTTGACTGCCTTTGCCGGCATCTTACGTAATGGACATCGAGATGCGCTGAGTCATGTCAACACGGAGAAAATAACAGATCTCAAAGCGATCTACCTAGACAAGGTCTCGTCTCTTACATGCAGTCAACTTGCAAGCTGTAATACGCAAGACTTGTATATTCTCCCCTAGCGTGGAGGTAGACGTCATTGATGAAGGTTCATTGTAATTTATGAACTAGTCACAAAGCTCGAATTTCTAATTACCTCGCCCTATGCCACAGTATCCGTCGAGTTCTAAGGGTGGTTATATTCCTGCTAATTCTAGTAAACGGTCTGCACGGGCGGGGAATACAACAAGCCGAACGCTTCTGCAGCCCCGATGAACAATAGTATTGTTACAATACTCATGGCAAGTGGTTGCACTGCTTCGTTCGTTGGGGAATTCCAAGGGCAACAGAGGTGGAATAAGCGCTCTTCGGGCGATAGTCGGAGTGGTCCTGTCTTCGGGCTCCTCAGTTTCCGCATGACTTTTGAGGCGCGCGAATAACTCTCGCACAAATGACGAAGTTCTACTTAGGCCTAATGTCACATTAGGTCATTAGTAATGAGTTACGGGCGTACACAATTACCGTACAAAGTTCGTGCTGGGGAGGTTCGAGTAGTAAGTAGTCATTAGATTGGAACTCGTAAAGCGGTACAAGCCAGTGGTTCCATCAGTTATCTGATTACAGTCTTCTGGAGACTGTCTCCAGCCTGCAGACTCCAGGTGGGGTGAGTTTCTCATCTCATTGCTCGAAACATTCGAATGTTTCAATAGTGGCAGGATGGTCGGCTTACTCAGCATGAAGATCTAGACCAACTCGAGGTATCCTCCACAGTTCTACCAATCGATTCTACCAATGACTATCATTTGTCGCATCCCCCTGGTTATGCTCTTCATCTCACCTTCACTTGGTGCTGGACCTGGTGCAGATGAGATATCCAATGTAAGTGTGTATTTTTTGAGCCGTACCACGTTTCTGTGAGTGTATACTCAGGAAAAATACCATACAAGCATTGTGGACTTCACGGCTTTGACACCATCCAAAGCCCAGGTGAGTATCTGTACTGGTGGCGAGATGGATCCTTCTGCTCAGTTCACAATCACTCATACTGATGACAGTTTATGCGGACTTGAGTGGCAGTCCGGGGAAACTCGCTTGGATGCTCGAAGCTTGGATCTTTCAATTCGTCTTGACCCTGAGCAAAAAGCCTTCACGTACGTCCAAGCGAGCTCGATGGAGGGCTTCTTCTGTCGAGATCTCATGATCAAGTAAGACAAGCTCATCGCTACGGTTTTGCTCGATCTTCTGTTGGCGCTCGTGCAAACACCCTTCTGTCAGAGAGGACGACAAGGAGTTAACTGTGAGAGCTCTCGGACACGGTTGTGATTTGTCCGACTTGGAATACCCAGGGGTTACAGTAGGGGCAAGGGAGACTCCTGAACGACTCAAGGCAGAGGAACTGCTTTCAACAAAGGGCCCCTTCTCTCCCTTCTTTCATTTGAAGGGGGACATTCTGGAGCCACTGATCAACAGCATCGCATCGGAAACCGACCAAATCCAATGTGATAAAATATTCCACTTTCTAGCCTTCAATGCCCCTCCTGGGTACAGTGGGGGGAATTTGGATTGGTTGTTTGAATTTGTGAGAGACAACACTATGAGAATCCAACGGAACATCAAGAATTACAAGCCGAAAATGCAGAGACTGTTCGAGGGGCTCCTTCGATCCAGAACCTCTCGA